GGCCGGGACAGACATCAGATTGTATTGCCATAAAGGGTCATTAGGCTGTTGGCAAACTGTACCTCAAGCTCTAGCTGACAGGCCTTTTCAAGAAAGACAGATGATAGAAAATATGAGAGTAAAATTCCGATTGACAGACAGTTGAATGAAATAGCTAGAAAGAGGGGTTGGAGGAAACACTGTTTTTAAAAAATATTTATTTTTCTCAAATGTGCATATAAACATTTATGTTATCACACTTTTTGACCTATTTATTTTGTTATCAATTTAATATATATATATATTATTAATAACATTAATACCACATGAAACACAAAGCTTGATGACTGAGTGGGATTGGATGTACTTGACAGATAGGAAGCATATCACTCCACACAGATTTCTAAATCCAAAGCTGACATGTTATCCTTTATTGGATTATTAAGCCTTTTTTATTCTTTATGATCATAATCACTGTCTGCAAGATGTCTACTCCCTATATGCAAAATAGTTTTTCATTGCAATTCAGAAACAAAGAAACATGCACTTCTGTGCCAACAGTCGGTCTTCACAGTGAACTATACGCTGACTTATTTGGCATTCTTCTATTTATGTTGAAAGAGAGGGGCGATTATCTCATCAAGGGCACTTGGACAGGTAGACAGGCCCATGTTCTGGTGTGTTGTCACTTTCACTGGCAGAAGGAGAGTCGTGTCATTAATTTGAGTCAGATGGGAGCTGGGGGTGATGACGGCCTCCGTCCTATAAAACCCTCCTGTCCCCGCCGCTCGTCCTAGCACCCCTCAGGCCATATTGTGATCTTTGTCCTGATAAGGACCGGTGGAAGCGAGACTGCCAGACTGGACGGGCAGGGTTGGAGCCTCTATGAGGACTCAGTTGCGATACTGTCCTGGAGGGGCCAATGAAAGGCATTCTCACATACGAAGAAAGGCTGCGAGTAAGTCAGGGCAGCCCCCCTCCCCATCTCCTGAGACTCCAGGCGCCACAGTGTAACTGCAGTCTCAGGTATGCTCCACGGACACTGTGAGAGATTCCCAGGCCCTTACCTGAGACAGACTTGAATGATCCTTCCACTTTATTCCAAGAGCTCATAAGCTTTTTGCAATTATTTTTATTAGTAATTCACCATCTTTATGGCACTGGTGTAAATGTGGAGCCAAAACGGGATTCTCTTCATCTCCGTGTCCAGAATGTCAGATTATATACAAGCTGTTCTGTTTTGCTTACTGCATATGCTGGATTTGTCAGCAAAAATGAGTACACTGTCATCATCCTATCTAAATTACTTCCATTTGCTGTCGACTTATATTTGGAGTTTGGATGATTACAGAATAATTTCAAAACAGAATAGGCGAGTAGGATACTGGTTGAAGTTTTCACCGTCTGTCAGCAAATTGGAACCACAGGACAATTTTCATTGTGTTTTGTGGTTTTGTGGTGTATGTGCTGTCATTTATCTAGACTACACAATGTTCTTGCCTGTGGCTCTTATATTGCTTTTTGAGATGTACCTTCCGTGGAAGAGTTTCCAATCATTTTCATGCAGAATGTCAATCTATGTATCACCTTATAAAATAATAAATATGAATATTATTAAATTTATCACAATGCTATGTTTTTAATGTGTATTTATATTTAAATACAATAAAAATTAAACAAACAAATAAATAAATACATTTATTCAGAAAAAATAATAATTTAAAGAGCCTATTCACTATTCAGCCACACTATCAGTGTGTATATATATACATATATATATATATATATATG